TCATTTGTGAAGTCACTGCAGAATGCAGATTACATCACAGCAGAATGCTCACATCTTTGTGATGTCATAGGGAAATTGTGATGTCATAGCGTAATACTCATATCTATTCTTGAAGCAAGTTCAGGAACTGTTGTTCTGCTGTCGATCTTCGTCAGTTAACTTCAATCATTTCTCCATCGAAGCCATCAACCTGTCTGTTAGACCCGATCCCAACTAGGCTGCTTAAAGAAGTCGTACCCTTAATTGGCACTTCTTTACTAGATATGATTAATCTTTCTTCATTATCAGGACATTATCACAGTCCTTTAAAGTAGCTGTAATTAAACCCCTTCTTAAAAAGCCCACTCTTGACCCAGGGGTTTTAGGTAACTATAGACTGATTTCTAACCTCCCCTTCCTCTCTAAGATTCTGGAGAAAGTAGTCGCCAAAAAGTTGTGTGACTTTTTACATAACAATAGTTTATTTGAGGATTTTCAGTCAGGATTCAGAGTTCATCACAGCACAAAGACAGCTCTGGTTAAAGTTAATAATGACCTTTTGATTGCTTCAGACAATGGACTTGTCTCTGTACTTGTATTATTAGATCTTAGTGCTGCATTTGACACCATTGACCATAATATTCTTTTACAGAGACTTGAGCATCAAATTTGCATTAAAGGACCCGCACTAAGCTGGTTTAAGTCATATTTATCAGATTGTTCGGAGTTTGTACAGTTTAACGATGAATCTTCAATAAATACTACAGTTAGTCATGGAGTTCCACAAGGTTGTGTACTTATAAATACTATTTACTTTATATATGCTCCCTTTAGGCAACATTATTAGGAATCACTCCATTAACTTTCACTGTCATGCAGATGATACGCAGTTATATCTATCGATCAAGCCCGATGAAATTATTCAGTTATCTAAATTACAAACATGTCTTAAGAACATAAAATCCTGGATGAGCTGCAATTTTCTGATGTTAAACTCAGAAAAAAACAAAATTCTTGTACTTGGCCCCAAAAACCTTAGAGACTCACTGTCTAAAGATATAGTTACTCTAGATGGCATTACCTTGGCCTCTAGCACCACTGTCAGGAATCTTGAAGTTATCTTTGATCAGGATTTGTCATTTAATTCCCACATAAAGCAAACCTCCAGGACTGCCTTCTTTCATTTAAGTTATGTTACAAACATTAGACACATCTTACCACAGACAGAGGCAGAAAAAAGAATCCATGCATTTGTTACTTCTAGGCTTGATTACTGCAACTCTTTATTATCAGGTTGCCCCAATAAGTCCATTAAAACGCTCCAATTAATTCAAAATGCTGCAGCACGAGTACTGTCAGGAACTAGAAAAAGAGATCACATCTCTCCTGTACTAGCTTCTCTGCACTGTCTCCCTGTAAAATTTAGAATAGAATTTAAAATTCTCCTCCTCACCTATAAAGCTCTTCATGGTCAGGCCCCTTCATATCTTAAAGAGCTCATAGTACCCTATTACCGCTCTAGAACACTACGTTTTCTGAATGCAGGGCTACTTGTGGTTCCTATAGTCTCTAAAAGTAGAACAGGAGCCAGAGCATTCAGCTGCAAAGCTCCTCTCCTGTGGAACCAGCTTCCAGTTGTGGTTCGGGAGGCAGACACCCTCACCACATTCTAGAGAAGGCTTAAGACATTCCTCTTTGATCAAGCGTATAGTTAGAGCTGGATCAGGTGAGTCCTGAACCATCCCTTAGTTATGCTGCTATAGGCCTAGACTATCAGGGGATTTCCCATGGTGCACTGAGCTCCTCTCTTCCTCTCTCTTTCTGCACTCATTCATGTCCCATTAATGCATGTTACTAACTTCACTTCTTCCCCGGAGTTCTTGTGCTTTCTCATCTCGCAGGTTCTCATGGATCCTGGTGGAGCCTCCTGCCATGGTCCTGCTTGACTGCCATTGCCAGTACTGTTGTTGCTGTTCACCTGTCTGTCTGTCTGTCTGTCTGTCTGTATCTCTCTCTGTCTCTCTCTCTCTTTCTGTCTCTTTCTCTCTCTCACCCCAACCGACCATCCACCTAGAGCTGATGGATCTGTCCTAGGTTTGTGCCTTTTAACAGGCAGTTTTTCATTGCCCTTGTTGCCAAGTGCTTGCTCATGGTGGTACTGTTGGGTCTCTGTAAATAATGTTATAAGGAGTTCGGTCTAGACCTGCTCTATTTGAAAAGTGTGCTGAGATAACCTTTGTTATGAATTGTCGCTATACAAATAAAACTGAATTGAATTGAATTGAATCTTTGTGATTTCATAGCGGAATGATGTAATGTTTGTGACGTCATAGCAGAATTCTTACATCCATGTGATGTCAGAGCGGAACAAAGTAATGTATTTAAAATGTTCTTTTGAAAAACATTATTATTGTATACCTAAGTATTAAAGGTCCAGTATGTAAAATTTAGGAGGATCTAATGGCAGAATGGAACGTAATGTTTATATGTCTGATCTCAGTAGTGTATAATAACCTTCATATAGTTATTGTTATACTTTTGTGACATTAGATTGAACTCTATTTATGTACAAATGCCGCCCATGGATTCTGCCATGTTTCTACATTAGCTCAAAAGGGACAAACCAAGGACTGGTTTAGGTTGGGAGTGTTTGCAATTTTCACAAGTTTATCAGCCATTGCTTTGTCAATTGTGATTTCATAGCGGAATGCTCAAATGTTTGTGATGTCATAGCAGAATTCTTACATCAATGTGATGTCACAGCAGAATGTGAAATGTGATGTCAGAGAACAATGCTCACATCTTTGTGATGTCGTATAGGAATCCTGATTTAATAGCAGAATGCTCATGGCTTTGTGATGTCACAGCGGAATACTTACATCTTTGTGATGTCATAGCAAAATTCTCATATCTTTGTGATGTCATAGCGGAAAGAAAAAGGTGTTGTCACAGCGGAATGCACACTTTCAATTGTTATGTCAAATTGGAGTGTACACTTTCAATTGTTATGTCAAAATGGAGTGTACACTTGCAGTTGAATTGTGATGTAATATCAGAATGCGGATTGTGAATTCACAGGGGAAAACAGAATTTGATGTTAGAGCACAATGCGTACTTCCAATTGTGATGTCACAGCGGAATGCAGAATGTGGAATGTAATGTCATAGTCATATTCTCGCATCCACTTCCGAAGTCACTGCAGAATGCAGATTACATCACAGCGGAATGCTCACATCTTTGTGATGTCATAGGGAAATTGTGATGTCATAGCGTAATACTCACATCTTTGTGATGTCATAGCTGAATGCTGTAATGTTTGTGATGCCATAGCAGAATTCTTACATCTATGTGTTGTTCGAGCGGAAGAAAGTAATGTATTTAAAATGTTCTCGTAAAAACACTATTATTGTGTAAAGGTCCAGTATGTAACATTTAGGAGGATCTAATGGCAGAATGGAACATAATATTCATATGTCTGATCTCAGTAGTGTATAATAACCTTCATAGAGTTATTGACATACTTTGTGACCTTAGATTGAACTTTTCATCTACAAATGTCAACCATGGATTCTGCCATGTTTCTACATTAGCCCAAAAGGGACAAACCAAGGAATGGTTTAGGTTGGGAGTGTTTGCAATTTTCACGAATTTTTAGCCATTGCAGTTTGCCCTTGCAAGGGGAAGGTGAAGCAACAGAGTTGCAATCTGCAACTTCACCGCAAGATGCCACTCATTCCTACATACTGCACCTTTAAAAGCAAAAGTAGACACTATAGAACGGAATTGCTCCCATCAGTGTTATATTACGTTATACATAACATTCATGTTACTTGCTAGATTTTTATGAAAAAAACTTTAAATTCATCAACTTCTGCAGGTCTTGTCTTATATGTCCAATAAATGAGCCAAGTCTTTCGCCCACTTTTTCAAATTTAATGTCATGGCGGAATGTGATGTCACAGCCGAATGCAGAATTCGGTGTTAGAGCGAAATGCGCACATTTTTGTGATGTCATAGAGGAATGCAGAATGTGGAATGTATTGTCATAGCCAAATTCTCACATCCACCTGTGAAGTCACTGCAGAATGCAGATTACATCACAGCGGAATGCTCATCTAATGGCAGAATGGAACATAATGTTGATTATGTCTTATATCAGTAGTGTATAATAACCTTCATACAGTTATTGTTATACTTTTGTGACATTAGGTTGAACTCTATTCATGGATTCTGCCATGTTTCTACATTAGCCCAAAAGGGACAAATCAAGGACTGGTTTAGGATGGCAGTGTTTGCAATTTTCACAAGTTATATAAATGATCCAAGTCTTTCGCCCACTTTTTTTAAATTTCATGTCATAGCGGAATGTGATGTCACAGCCGAATGCAGAATTCGATGTCAGAGCAAAATGCGCAAATGTTTGTGATGTCACAGTCGAATGCAGCATCCGATGTTATAGCAGAATGCCGAAATGTTTGTGATTTCATAGCGGAATGCTGTCATGTTTGTGATGTCATAGCAGAATTCTTAAATCAATGTGATGTCATAGAACAATTTTCACATCTTTGTGATGTCATATATGAATTTTGATGTAATAGTGGAATTCGGCTATTACATTAAAATTCCTAAGAGGGAGAAAGACTTGGATCATTTATGGGACAAAAAAAAAGAGACCTGCAGAAGATAATGAATTTAAAGTTGACTTTTTTTCTTAAAAATCTAGTACGTAACATGAATGTTATATATAATGCAATATAACACTGATGGGAGCCATTCTGTTCCATATTGTCTTCATTTGCTTTTAAAGGTCCAGTATGTAGGATTGCGTTGCATCTTGCGGTGTAGTTGCAGATAGCAACTCTGTTGCTTCACCTTCCCCTTGCAAGGGCAAACTGCAATGGCTGAAAGCACTCCCAACCTAAAATAGTCCTTGGTTTGTCCCTTTTGGGCTAATGTAGAAACATGGGAGAATCCATGGGCGGCATTTGTAGATGAAAACTTCAATCTAAGGTCACATTCACTAACAATGACCACGCCATCACATGTATGAAATAAGAAACGTTTATTGCACATAATGAACAAATGTGAACCAATGTGGTATACTGAGGGATGAGGGGTGATTCGAGGGATGAAGGTAGGTTCGAGGGATGAGGGATGAAGGTAGGTTCGAGGGATGAAGGTAGGTTCGAGGGATGAGGGATGAAGGTAGGTTCGAGGGATGAAGGTAGGTTCGAGGGATGGTTAGAGTGATGAGGGATGAAGGTAGGTTTGAGGGATGAGGGATGAAGGTAGGTTCGAGGGATGAGGGATGAAGGTAGGTTCGAGGGATGAGGGATGAAGGTAGGTTCGAGGGATGAAGGTAGAGGGATGAGGGATGAAGGTAGGTTCGAGGGATGAAGGTAGGGGGATGAGGGATGGAGGTAGGTTTGAGGGATGAGGGATGGATGAGGTCGGAGGAATGAGGGATGGATGAGGTCAGAGGAATGAGGGATGGATGAGGTCAGAGGAATGAGGGATGGATGAGGTCAGAGGAATGAGGGATGGATGAGGTCAGAGGAATGAGGGATGGATGAGGTCGGAGGAATGAGGGATGGATGAGGTCGGAGGAATGAGGGATGGATGAGGTCGGAGGAATGAAGGTAGGAGGAATGAAGGTCGGTTGGCGGATCGATGGATGGCGCGATGTAAGAGGGAACTGAGTGGGTTGCGAGACACTGAGTGGGGGAACTGTCTCTTCGTATCTCTTGTAGAGAGCCCCAGTGGTTCCTGTATTTGGATAAGAGGGAGACAAAAAGAAAGGGTTTGGGTGGGAGGGATGTGGGAAATGAGTCAAGGAGGGAGTGAACGGATAAGGTATGCTTAAGTAAGTTTTGAGCGGAAATTAGATGATTGCAGGGCGTAGTCTTTGTTCCCGAACCTAGTTATAAAACATCATTTCACTAACAATGACCACGCCATCACATGTATGAAATAAGAAACGTTTATTGCACATAATGAACAAATGTGAACCAATGTGGTATACTGAGGGATGAGGGGTGATTCGAGGGATGAAGGTAGGTTCGAGGGATGAGGGATGAAGGTAGGTTCGAGGGATGAGGGATGAAGGTAGGTTCGAGGGATGAAGGTAGGTTCGAGGGATGGTTAGAGGGATGAGGGATGAAGGTAGGTTTGAGGGATGAGGGATGAAGGTAGGTTCGAGGGATGAGGGATGAAGGTAGGTTCGAGGGATGAGGGATGAAGGTAGGTTCGAGGGATGAAGGTAGAGGGATGAGGGATGAAGGTAGGTTCGAGGGATGAAGGTAGGGGGATGAGGGATGGAGGTAGGTTTGAGGGATGAGGGATGGATGAGGTCGGAGGAATGAGGGATGGATGAGGTCAGAGGAATGAGGGATGGATGAGGTCAGAGGAATGAGGGATGGATGAGGTCGGAGGAATGAGGGATGGATGAGGTCGGAGGAATGAGGGATGGATGAGGTCGGAGGAATGAGGGATGGATGAGGTCGGAGGAATGAGGGATGGATGAGGTCGGAGGAATGAAGGTAGGAGGAATGAAGGTCGGTTGGCGGATCGATGGATGGCGCGATGTAAGAGGGAACTGAGTGGGTTGCGAGACACTGAGTGGGGGAACTGTCTCTTCGTATCTCTTGTAGAGAGCCCCCAAAAAGACTTCGAATCGATTCGTAAGCGTGTTTCATGTCGTTTTTTAGGTTATAACAGATGTACGTGAGATATGCTCAAGAAGACCATCTGCCAAGGGATTTATTGCCGATATCTGGGATTCCCTGCCTGGGAGCAGTGGATGTGGCTCGGATGCAAGGGAACGCCCCGAGTATGGCTCTGCGGAAATTCTGGTTTGGACAGGATTGCAGATGTGTCGAAACTGATCACGTGGGTATGAGGAGTTAATCGATGGAAGCGAACGGGATGAAGCTATCGAGTGAAAGAAAATGGCGACCGAATTATCCATCTGAGGGGAGTCAGTAGAGGATGGAGGCTGAAGATGGTGGGACTGTAGTTGAAACGGCGTCGGAGGCTAGTGCCGATTGTCTGAATTTACGTAACGAGAAGCGAGAGTGTGACGGCGATTGCGTTGTGAGAACTGGGATGCGAGAAGCTCGAGTGATGAATTGATGCTGTGCTGAAGCTAGGGTAAGCTTCCATATGAGCTGTGTTATGTTAAGACGGCGGGACTGGTCCCTTGTTTATGATGTCAAATGGTGGTGGTCATGATTTTATTGGACCATTAGTGACCCCAAAGAATGATTGCTTGCGATCGGGCAACGAACGAATATCGTGGAAAGAGGGGAACAGGAAGGTGAATTCTACGCGATGCTTTAGAGTGGGTAAATAGTGGCTGTTTGCATTCAATTGGACTGAATGCAGTTTAAGTGTTCTGGATATGAGGGTTGCTTGTGGACGGATGTATTGAATGGCGAGGTCAACGCGTATACGTCTGAAAACAAATGTTTCAATGATGGCTCTGAAATAAAAATGAGGTGAACCGGTATATTGAATGAACAGGAAAGATATATTGCGTATACATTTTAAGAATTTGCCATGAAAGATTTATCCTTAAATAAGTATCAACAGGGAAGAAGAGCGGACCCTGAAACGAAGGGGAGGACGGGGTCCCAGTGGGCCAAAACGAGAGATGCAAGTTCAGACGGATGTATTGAAGGATGAGGTCGACGCGTTTACGTCTGTAAACTAATGTTACAATGATGGCTTTGAAATAAAACCAGTAACTGTTGCAGGGCTTCCTGCTTGCCTGAACTAAGAGGTGAACCGGTATACTGAATGAACGTGGAAAGATGTATTGCATATACGTTTTAAGAATTTGCCATGAAAGATTATTTATCCTTAAATAAGTATCAACAGGGAAGAAGAGGAGACCCTGGAACTAAGGGATGACCAGGTCCCGGTGGGCCAAAACGAGAGATGGTAAGATTCAGACGGATGTATTGAATGATGAGGTCGATGCGTTTACGTATGTAAACTAATGTTACGATGATGGCTCTGAAGTAAAACCAATAACTGTTGCAGGGCTCCTGCTTGCCTTAATTAAGAGGCAAACCAGTGCATTGAACGAAAGTGGGAAGATATATTGCATATATGTTTTAAGAATTTGCCACGAAAGATTATTTATCGTTGAATAAGTATCAACTGGGAAGGAGAGGAGACCCTGGAACTAAGGGATGACCAGGTCCAGATGGGCCAGAACGAAAGATTGTAAGTTTCAGACGGATGTATTGAATGATGAGGTCGATGCGTTTACGTATGTAAACTAATGTTACGATGATGGCTCTGAAGTAAAACCAATAACTGTTGCAGGGCTCCTGCTTGCCTGAATTAAGAGGCAAACCAGTACATTGAACGAAAGTGGGAAGATATATTGCATATATGTTTTAAGAATTTGCCACGAAAGATTATTTATCGTTGAATAAGTATCAACTGGGAAGGAGAGGAGACCCTGGAACTAAGGGATGACCAGGTCCGGATGGGCCAGAACGAAAGATTGTAAGTTTCAGACGGATGTATTGAATGATGAGGTCGATGCGTTTACGTATGTAAACTAATGTTACGATGATGGCTCTGAAGTAAAACCAATAACTGTTGCAGGGCTCCTGCTTGCCTGAATTAAGAGGCAAACCAGTACATTGAACGAAAGTGGGAAGATATATTGCGTATACGATTTAAGAATTTGCCATGAAAGATTATTTATCATTAAATAAGTATCAACTGGGAAGGAGAGGAGACCCTGGAACAAGGGATGACCAGGTCCGGATGGGCCAAAACGAAAGATGGTAAGTTTCAGATGGATGTATTAAATGGCGAGGTCGATGCGTATGAGTCTGTAAACTATTGTTACGATGATGACTGAAATATAACTATTAGCCATTGCAAGGCTTCCTGCTTGCCTGGACGAAGAAGTGAATCGGTATTTTGAACGAACATAAAAAGAAATATGTTGCATATACCATTTTAAGAATTTGCCATGAAAGATTATTTATCTTTAAATATTAACGGGGGAAGGCGAGGAGACCCTGGAAAGAAGGGACGACCGGGTTCCGATGGGCCGAAACGAGAGATGGTGAGTTCGGATGGATGTATTGAATGGCAATGTCAAGCGTATGAGTCTAAACTAATGTTGCGCTAATAACTCTAAAATGAAACTACTAACTGTTGCGGCAATAAGAGGCGAACCAGTATGTGAACGAACATAAAAAGACATATTACGTCTAGGTTTTAAGAGTTAGTCATGAAAGATTCATTTATAGTTAAAAAGTTAAGCGTGCGGAATTTAATTGCGATGTCCACGTAATGAGAGACGGAAATCTGTCGTCTGAGAGCGGTGACGCAGGGATGATAGGAAGGAATTGGCCGTGCTGGAGGTAATGCGGAGGCTGGATCGAAATTATTATGCATGGACGATGGGTGGGAAAGCCCACGATTGAGCTACATTGGACCTGTGGGGAAAAAGGGGGTGTGCTAAGGAAGAGAAACATACGTATGAATAAACATAAGTAGAATAAGGGTTTTGTGGCTGGGAGCGTGCCCAGAAATACATGGATTGTATTTGTGGGCACGCTCTGTCGCCTGAGAAGGTTGGTTGGGAGGAGCAGAGGCAGCCGAAGAAGACGGAACAGGGAAGTTAGAAATGAGAGGAGGGAAAAGATGCTGGGATGTAGGGATGCCT